AAATGTGTTGCTTTTCTCTTCCACATAGAAAGCATGTAGCAGTGATGACCTATTAGAAAGAAATTCACAAGGGTATTAAATAATATTATTACTGGAGCCAAATGATGTTCATAATTCAGTGAGTGAGATTTCAAGGTACCCAAAACTTTTGCTCAGGGTGAATATTGAAAGAAACAATAAAGGGAAAGATTTTTTGAGAACATGATGTAGTCTTTAAGTCATGTCCACTGTTTGTTTCAGTCTTTAAATGGTAATAGGAAGCCCATACAGACTCTGTATGGTTACCTCTTCTTGGTAGCAGTGAGAAATTCCCATTTTAATATGACTTCTTGTTCTCCTGTTCAGTACACTTGATCAAGTGCGTTTTGATTGCAATCATCATTTAATAAAAGTAAAAGCTGAAGTTACTTGCAGTGGCGTAGCGTGGGGGGTGCAGGGGGGGCCGGCCGCACCGGGCGCAACATTTGGGGTTAGGGCAAATCCACAGGTTAGGGGGCGCAAATCCACGGGTTAGGGGGCGCAAATTACTTGCCTTGCCCCGGGTGCTGACAACCCACGCTACGCCACTGGTTACTTGAAGAACAGGAATCAAAAATGTTTTGTGAAAAGCATGGATTAGTATGTGATGAGAGGTGCCAAGTGACAGCTTTGAGGCTGAATGACAGTAGTGAAGAGGGATAAAAATAAATTATGAAAATCTGATTTTACTACTTTTAGGATAAAGGCTTGATTTCTCCTTCCTGTACCATACCTTCATGTTAGTACCTTAGCATTTTGCAATACTTCAAGCTTGTATAAGTTGGAAAGTTTATCCTGGGGAGGAGGGTGGGGAAGGAATTTCAAAGGGCACTCTCCTTTTTTTTATCTATTCAGGTTTCTGCTTTGTACTCATGAACTGTGATGTGTAGGCTTGCCTATCTAAAGTGGATCTCTTTGCCTCCAGAGTCAACAAGAAACCTGTTTTTCAATAGGCACGTGGATCTATTGCCATTTGGAATGGATGTTTTAAGAATTGCCCAGGAGCCTCATGTCTGTATTCCCACCTCTACTGCTCCTGGGCACACGTGATCAAGATCGGAAAGGCTGGGTAATCTGAATCCTCCCATAGTGCCCTAGCAGGTTATGGTTTCCCAAGATGATAGACATGAGAATGGTTCCCCCTTTCAGGCCACAGTTCACTGTAGATACTCTGCAACAAGACCCAGTTCATATATTTGACCTATTGTAAGAATATTGGGTACAGTGGTACCTTGGTAGTCGAACAAATTGGCTCCCAAACATCGCAAACCCAGAAGTGAGTGTTCCGGTTTGCGGAAGTTTTCTGGAAGCCGAATGTCCGACACGGCTTCTGAGGCTTCCGATTGAGTGCCGGAAGCTCCTGCAGCCAATCAGAAGCCGTGCCTTTGTTTTCGAACCATTCCAGGAGTTGAATGGCCTCCCGGAATGGATTAAATTCAAGAACCAAGGTACCACTGTACTTGGCTCAGAGGCAGTTTTAGGGTAGTGTGACCAGTGCAGTCAAACTGGGCGCTGGGTTGTAAGACGCGTCAAAACAATGCTGTAGAATGGAGTGCAAGAAGTTGTTGGGGGGCGGAGGTAGCATTGCACAGGATGCCACTGAAATTGTTAGTGGCCCAGTATCCTATTTTCAATTCAGAGTAGGATACAGATAACTCACATTTTACACACAGTTATCTTGTGCACATTCAGCTTTACATAGAAAGAAAGAAAGAAAGAAAGAGGGAACATCCACACTGGCAATCCCACCCAACACTGACCCCAATGTGTTTTTGACTATACATAAATTTGGGCTTTATGTGCTATTCCTGGAACATAACCCCTGTGTAAGCTGAGAGTCACCTGCATATGAAAAATAAATTAGTAAACAGTGCTTTAAAAATCACACTTTTCCTTTGAGGGTTATTTTTGGAAAGGAGAAGTGGAAGAACGTAACAGACTTAAAAGGGAAATGGATTCTTCCAGCGTTTGAAACATTTTGTGTGACACAGGAACACTTCAAAAGAGGCTTTCTTCAGCCTTCATTAAAGAATTCAGTTAACTCTGGAAAGTACAAGCCTGAAGTCCTATACACACTTGGGAGTAAGTCCCGTTTAGTCCAGTGGGACATGGTTCTGGGTAAACATCGGGAGGATTGAGTTTCACCGTGACTAAGATTTAGTATGCTTTCCAAAACTTTGCAATGTTTTCTGCCAGCTAATTGCTGTTTATTGCACTAAACCTTGGTCCTCAAACAGTAACTTTTTCCATCTTAAAGTGGGTTGTCCCATTCAAGTGAAGAGCATGTTGTCTGAGTGCTAAATGGAATTACTACCAATGGAAACTATGCTGCAAGAGGAGTTGATAAAGCAGCTGCCTATGCAAACCTCAGCTGTTTTTTCCATTCTCCAGAGCAAAGTTAATTAGCATAGGGAAACTGACTAATGTGCTTACGTCACCTCTTTCCAGTTGAAGCTTATATTTTGTCCCTGACTGCCTGAAAGCATGCGGCAGGACTTTGTTCAGGAATTTGCTGTCGCATACAGGGTGCTCTGAAACCTTCTTTTTTTTTTCCTTCTTTTTTTTCTTTTTTTGGTTGAGGGGCTGGACTTGGTCCTTTTTATAAACTCTCACTCTACAGTACAAAACTGCTTCTTCAAAAAAGGACTTTTTGGTGATCTTGTGCTGAGCTCTTAGCATTCTTTAAGAGAGCAGAAGATGCATTTTAGGAACTTTGATTACATTTTTGGCTCCTTAATTGCTTGCGTTCCTGACAACAAGGTTTTCAATCAACCAGAAATTAGGGTAAGGCTTTGTAGATTTTTGTTTCTGGTGAGGAATATAGTTACTGAAAAAATGTAGGTGTGTTCAAATGACTGACTAGGTTAGGTCTTGATATGGCAATGTCAAAATAATCCCAAACTGCAGAAGCTGGTGTCCATTTGTGTTTCTGTATTCTTTATAAATTCTTACAATAATGCCTTAAGATTATGGTAGGGTTGTAGCTCAGTGGCAGAGTGCATGCTTGGCATTCTAAAGCTCCCAGGCTCAATTGCCAGCATCTCAAGGTAAAGACAGGAGAGACCTCTTTCTGAACCAGTGGAGAGCTGTTGCCAGCCAGTGTTGAAAATACTGGGCTAGATGGACTAATGAGCTGATTTAAGGCGCTTCCTATTTCTTGTGGGGTAATTTGTATGATCCTTTAAGTACTTTTGTGTTAACTGTCTACAAATTCTCAATACTTCTAACTGTTAGTATGAACTTTTAAATATTCTTCTAGTTTAAATAATTTAGCTTTACTGTTTACAATTTCATCCAGCCTTTCATTTGTGAAAGTAAGGTGGAGGGGAAGTAGCAGGGGGTGGGAACTGGGTTTGAAACTTTGAACAGGGCCCACTGTAACTTGTTCAAAAGTGCAGTGCCTGGCTTTTTTTTTTTTGGCAAGACTATACCAAAACTTCAAAACGCTAATAACAAAAGCCTAGTTGTAAGTAGAATGAAAACACATTCTCTGTACTCTTTAAGAGAAGTAGCTCAGTTTTGGGCTGACAACTTTCTGTACAAAGTTGTATAGTATTCCCATGTGTTACATACTTGTTTGAAAGTTTAAAGAAATAATGTTTTGTTATCTCCTTCATGCAAAACCTGTTATAGACTTGTGACTTAACTAAACCCAGCAAGTTCAGTATTCTGTGATTCCCATACAAGTTAGTCAAGTTATAATAGGCAAAAGAAACTGTAGTCAGTTCCTGTTAATGGCTTGTGAAACAGGAAATTATAACATACATAAATGCTCAGCTAATGTGATTAAGAACTATTGTCTCTTCCTCAAACTCCACTCCTAGTTTCCTTATTCTCAGTATTAAATGGCAGACACTTCTGTGAATGATGCATAAAGAAATTTGAGTTGGTTAGTTGCCTGAAAGTTTCAACAAAAAAAATTCCTTCCAGTAGCACCTTAAAGACCAACTAAGTTAGTTCTTGGTATGAGCTTTCGTGTGCATGCACACTTCTTCAGATAACACATGCGCTAAGCATGCATCACTATGGTATGGAGCTGTCAGCTGGTGGCAGATTTGCCACACCTGAAGTTCCACAGATTATTTGTTATTTGGGGTCAGAAGCAATTGTCTTTTTTCAGACTTTCTGTAGGTTTTTGTTGTTTTTTAAAATGCAAACTAGATCACCACCACATCTGTATCTCCACTATTTCTTCATCCAGCCACAGCCTTCCCCCCCACCACCACCACACTGGTTCTGTATGTTTCTTAAATTTTGAAGCACTCTGGATTGGAAACGTGTGCTCTATAGCATCTATGCGTTCATGCTTGCTAAATAGGGTAACACGTTGTTTTTTAGCAGCTGCATGGTAGTTTCAGCTAGTGTAGATTTTCCTGGCATCATGGTGAAAACGAAGGCTGACACATTCACTTCATGTACATTGTTAAAGATACAGAGCCAGTCAGGAAAAAGACTATGTTCAAAGGCATGAGTCCTATTAATACATATTAATTGATACTGATTCTCATCAATCTAGCAAAGGGTTTGTGTTTTGTTGGGTTTATTCCATGGTACAGTGATGACTTGTTGCTTAAAGCCATTAGGGCTTACCTCTTGAATTCTACCTTTTGGTTATCAGGCTGATTGCACATATCCTTGAGTGAAATAAGTGGAATGGAAACATTTTAACCGACATAACTGAATTGCAGTTTGACTATCAAGTTCCCTGCAAATAGAGGTGTGGCACTGGCAGAAGAGATAAAGCTATATAATACCCTATCCCCCAGAGCCCCAAAAGTTGCAAAAAATCCCAAAAGTTCTCTTGTTTATTTGTTTAGGTAAGGTGTGTCCAGGGACACACATTCCCCACAAGGAGGGGAGGGATAATATTTACAAGTACTTGGTTGTAGCTTTGCAAGCAAGTCTGTAGCCACTGAAATAATTTTTAATGGTTTATGCAATACAAGATAGCTTTTTAACAAAATATTCCATTTGTCTTTTAGGCAAGATTTGAAGCACTCTTTAGAACATATGACAAAGATGTCACGTTTCAGTATTTTAAAAGTTTTAAAAGAGTACGGATAAACTTCAGCGACCCTTTGTCAGCAGCCGACGTTAAAATTCAGTTACACAAGAAAGAATTTCTTGGAAAGGAATTGAAATTGTATTTTGCTCAGGTAAGACAGAGAAACCTGCTTGGTAAACATTTAATTGCATTGTTGCCAGTTTCATTTCACATCCTTCCTCCAGTGAAGTCTTGAGTAAAGCATTCTCGCCCCACAACAGCCCTGTGCAGTAGGGTGGGTTGAATGAAAGTGATCCACCTATTGAGCTTCAGAGCTAAGCAGGGCTGTGGCCCTAGGTTTCAGTTATGCAAACTCAAAAATTACAATACGTTACAGAATATTTTCATAAGCCACCTGTCTTTCACAGAACTACTTTGCAGTGATCTGAGCAGTTGAATTGTGACGCCTGCTATTTTTGATGTGTTCTTAAAGTACCGCTTCCAAGAAAGGATGACATCACACATTCCAGTACCATTTTCATTTTCACTAAGGCTCTAATGATACGGATTTGCTTAGGCAGTTTTCTGGTCACCACTTTACAGCTAAGCTGTTAGGAGATCTGGCATTTGCTCTACTTCTTTAATGGTATTGAAGTGTTCTGTTATAAGACACAGTCCTTAAGGATTGCTTCTTTTGATCATGTCACTAACAGACACTGTGGAACCTCAGGAGAGGAGATATGAGGAATAACTATATTTTATGTATGATTTCCCAAATCATTTGTATTGAAAGAGGACAAGCTTTTATTTTCTATCTTGTGTTATTTGAAAGTGCAACCAGATAAGCTTTCTCAGAGATTTCTAAAGAAAATCATGGAAGCTGAAGTGGGATTAATCTGAATGTCCATTTCAGACACATTTTATTATTATGTATATTAAAAAAAACCTCAACAAAAAAGAGTGAGATCATTGAGCAGCTTAGTAAGTTATGGAATCTGGGCAGCATACAACAAATTTGTAATGACAATTTCTATACAATTTCTATACAAAATAAAATATAAAAACATTAGAAAGTGCATGAATACAATAAGATATCAGTAAGAGAAAAGTTGTGAATTGTGAAGGACACATACAATCTAGAAATTGTGACTCTTTCTTTTTAAAATACATGTAAGCTGTAACTAGAAGAGGATTCCCAGGTATTTGCAAGTATCTAGAAGGAAGAGACTTAGAAAGAAGGGAATCTGATTTATACATGTGTATACTCACCATAATAGTACATCGGTCTTGTGATAGTCTGTTAAGTTCAAAATGCTTCATGAGAAGCAGCCTTTATTCTCCTCTTGAATTCTTCTTCTAGTTAAGAGAGCCTTGTAAATGAGCTCACAAAAGTTTCTGGCCTCCCATTTGTTTTACTAGCCTACATTCCCACGCTGGCTACAAGGGAAGATTTTTAAGGTTCCCTGCAGCCAGTATGGAAATGCAGCAGGCTGAGGGACAGAGTGATCCATCCTCCCAGGAATCATAAGATTATATCTTAAAGACCAAACTTCAGTATCATTTTATTTTTTATCTTTTGGGTTGTTGTTTAAAATGTTCTATCACTATCTCTATATACCAGGTGGGTGCAGAAAGTTCCTGGTTTCATTAACCTAATATTGTCAGCCCAATAGATTGGATCCACACTTAGTCAAGCTTAGAGCAGACCATTGAAATCAGAGGGACAGATTATTCTAAGCATAACTGACACTGGATCCAATCCACTGTTCTGTCTAATACCATTACATACCTCTGCCATGAGCACAACATATTTGTATTCCATGCATGTGCTTTTAAAAAATCAAAGTAAAAAATAAAAATCTGTTTCATCTCTCCAGACTTTGCATATTGGAAGTTCACGCTTAGCACCACCAGATCCAGAAAAACAATTTCTGATTTCACCTCCATCTTCTCCCCCTGTTGGTTGGACTCAGTCTGATGATGCTACACCTGCCATTAACTATGATCTTTTATATGCGATCTCCAAACTAGGACCAGGTAAGAGGCATATATGCCTAAAGTGTAATGGCTCAAGTTAATTTTCCTTTTATTGTTGATTTACTGTAATGGGTGTGGCCGCATAAGAATTGAACTTATTCACTACATATAACACCTGTGATCTGAATTGAGAGTTGTTAGGAGACCTCTATTGTCTTCACAGAATTAGTTTTCAGAAACGTTTCACGATTCCTCTTCACAGAGAGCTCTAGGAATTGTAGCTCTGTGAGGGAAAAAGCTGTATTCTGACAACTCTCAGCACCCTTAACAAACTACAGCTCTCAAGATCCTTTGGCAGAAGGCATGACTTCTGTATGGTGTGAATGTGGCCTTCACTCCTTCAGCAGCCCGCTTAGTTTCTGCAGTAGGTGCAAACATAACACATGGAATGAATGCTTCATCCCTCTTCCACCAGCCCCCACACTCACTTGCATAGAATTCCTTCTTGCCTATGGTTACCGGGCAAGTGTTTTAATGCAAGGCTGATCTTGCAGAGAGGCTTAGTAAGAACAATCACACAGCCTCTAGTATGGTCACATTAAAGGTAAAGGTAAAGGTACCCCTGCCCGTACGGGCTAGTCTTGCCAGACTCTAGGGTTGTGCGCCCATCTCACTCTATAGGCCGTGGGCCAGCGCTGTCCGGAGACACTTCCGGGTCACGTGGCCAGCGTGACATCGCTGCTCTGGCGAGCCAGAGCCGCACACGGAAACGCCGTTTACCTTCCCGCTTGTAAGCGGTCCCTATTTATCTACTTGCACCCGGGGGTGCTTTCGAACTGCTAGGTTGGCAGGCGCTGGGACCGAACGACGGGAGCGCACCCCGCCGCGGGGATTCGAACCGCCGACCTTTCGATCGGCAAGCCCTAGGCGCTGAGGCTTTTACCCACAGCGCCACCCGCGTCCCTAGTCCCTTAATGGTCACATTAAGGTACAATTAATGGACAAGTGTGGCCTGCAACAAAACGTTGCAGTGCAGATTGCCCCCTTGCAGGGTTCCAGCCAGCCAGTCCCTCTGCCCACATTTTCCATTTCCCTTAATCATGAAACATGCAGTATTTTATTACTATTCTGTGTGTCTCAGTCCTTATTGGATTATATGGTGTTTTTTGAACCTTCAGGATTTTTTTCTCTCTCTAAAGATCTTTGTAATTCTGCAAATGTCAGGGTTCCCCTTAGTCAGGCCACACACTTTCTGTGTGAGTGCTGCCATTTTGACCACATAGAGATTGTCACTCATCTCTGAAATTTCAGATAGAGGGGATGATACTGGGGGAATCTAAACCAGCTGAAGTTTATAAATTTGCTGATAGTATATATGTTGATTCTGCGTTACATTTGCTTGTTAATCATAACTTTCACTTGCTGAAGAAGCAAAATTTGAAAAGGAGAATGAAACACCCCATAGCTCCCCAGGATGTGAGAAACTATTGCTGATTTGTGAGTTCATAACTGGAAGTTGAGAGGTAGCAATCAGGATTAAAAAGGGGTAATCCATGATCATGTTATCCTACTGTTTAAAAATAAACAATGAGCTGCTCCACGCAACTGCTCTGAAGATCTGGGAAGAGGAGCAGGGAAAGGAGCTCTAATGCTTCCCTTTCCTCACCACAACACAGAGCTATTAGTTCTACTGGGGGAAATGTACAAGTATTTTATATCTACAGTTGTCTTACCACTGTTGCTATTTTTAAAAACATTTTAGGGGACCAGTATGAACTTCATGCTGCAACAGAAACTACTCCCAGTGTTGTTGTCCACGTGTGTGACACGAATGAAGAACGTGAGGCAGACGCAGAGAGAAAAGACGCCAAGAAGGCAAAACCCAAACCAAAAATTATTCAAACCAGAAGGCCAGACTATACTCCTTCTTACCAAAGTTGAACTACGTAGAGCTTTGAAATGTTCCAAACTTGCATGCTCAAGGGAGACATTGAGGAAATGACATCATAAATCTGATGACATTAGAAGTGGAAGCAGCAATTCTAACATACAGATGTTTTAAGAAAGGGAATGTCTTCATTTGTTTGTTTTAATGCTGCACGTTGGCTGACAAGACCAATCCCAAAATGAACTTCTGAATGGTTGTCCTGGAGAATGATTAAATAGTGGCATTGGGGCAAAAAGCATGTACTGTTGTGCTTTAGGGCTATTTTCAGATACTCCAGACTTCTGTTACAAAGCAGCTGAGGATGCCTTCCCTATTTATGTATGTCCCTGATAAAGTCCTCCAATTCATAAGTTAGCATGGTTGCCATTCTAAAATACACTCACTGATAAATACACTCCATTGGAATCAGTAGGGCATACAAGTAAGTATGTTAGAGATTGCAGCTTGTATATGACTTATGGTGGTAAAGAGATGATTTTAATGCAAAAGGGTGATGTCCAACATTAGTCATAACCCGAGTTGACCCATTGAAATCAGTGGACTTGATGTGTCTACTCTGAGTATGACTAACATTGAATATTAACCACAGTAAGATATATTTAATCATTTTTTCTATTAGATTTTGTGCATGCCTGTAAAACTTGAGAAGTTTAACTTCCTCTGCATTTTCCAGTTTTACATTATCTCAAATACTGATTTCTCAGTTTTCCTTTTGAATTATGTTTGTATTGGCATTCATTTTTCAGTGGGGACAGATTTTTAGTGAAGTTATGTGCAATATCCCCTTTTAATGTTAACTGCCAATGCATGGTTTATCTAGAAAACCTATAAAACACTTGTGCACATTTTAAGTGGGTTGACAATTTTTAATTATTCTAAATGACATTATTTAATATTGATTTAAAATACCTTGACTCCTTTACCGATCAGAAGTACAAGAAACCCGCAGATAAAGCTGACACTGTGTTGTTACAGTTCACAACTGAGAGAGAATATAAGCTTGCCCTAGCCACAAACTTGTAAATTTATAACTGTTGGTGTTTAAATGTTGTTAATGGTGCTTGAGCACATCTAGTGTGAAAACAAATGTGAAATGTGGCATTTGTGAAGGTTGGAGTGCCTTTTCCTCATGAATTCCTGGGAGGATTGTTGCACTAGCTGTAAGATTATTTAATTTTTTAATTGGCAGTAGATAGTTATATCAAATATTTTCTGCTAAAGCATCATCAAGTAAGATGTGTTGTATTTCCCATTGTTTGATGCAGAGCCACAATGCTTTTTCTTCTCTTTTTAGTGCTTTGTGTCTGAGCAGCAATTTATTAGCTACTGCTAACAGTCTAGCGGTAAATGGTGTTCAAGCTTTTTTGTACCATATTTACAAGCAAAATTTACTGCACAGTGACATCCCACGTCAAGTATTTTTAGGGGTTTTCTTTTAGAATGGATTATTGAAATGAATTTTAAAAGGCTTTTAAAAATAAACATTTCACAATTTGTGATGTCTAAGCAAAGGTTTTTTCTCTGTTGGGTTTTTTCCTAATATGAGGGATTTCGTGCTGCTTGTACATTTCTAGAAACTATAAGAAGCTGGATATTTCCATGCAGATGTCAGTGGGAGCTCTGTTTTAAGAGAACCTGTTCTGTCAAGAGAAATTTTAATGAGAGGTTTTTCACTATGAGGTGTACCATCCTTCTCGGAACAGATGTAGCCAGGATAGTATAAATAGCTCGATTAAGTCAGCAGTACAGAGTGTACTGTATTTGTAATATTCCAGCTTTGCCCAAGATGTGTGTTTTTAAAAACTATGAAGTCCATTCAATACAAGTACAAATGAAACAACAGTATGTATTTGTTTTCTTTCAAAGGGCAACCAAAAAGCTCCAGGATGTCATGCTACAGATCTTGATTGTATTACCGCCTTTTTCTTATACTGTATAAACTGCTCCTATATTTGTAAATGTTTTAAATACCCACTCTACAGACCAGTTAAGCTGGATGACTATTTAAGGTTATTTAAACTTACAAGTAAATGCTGTTGAGGTCATTAGGGCTTAATTTTCTTTAAGTTGCAATCCTGCAAATAGGGCTCCTTCAGTGCCATTGATATCAACGATTTAAGCTGTCTAACTATATAGGGAAAGCTGCAGTCCTTAGTCCCACTGAACCCAAATGTTCAGGTATGTCAGCTGGACTGCTTTATGGAGTTTACCTACACCAGGCATGGCCAAACCTGGCCCTCCAGATGTTTTGTGACTACAATTCCCATCATCCCTGACCACTGGTCCTGTTAGCTAGGGATGATGGGAGTTGTAGTCCCAAAACAGCTGGAGGGCCAAGTTTGGCTATGCCTGATCCTACACTGATGAATTACTACCCAATTGTCATGTATTAAATACAGAATGTAAACAAGGCACAAGATGCTATTTGCTTATAAAACCAGTCCACCTTATGACATGCAGCCCTTGGAAAATACTTCACTGTGGCAAGATGTGATATCGTACATTGCAGCAAGAGAGGAATGGCAGGAGGGGAGAATGCTCTTGTGCTCAAGTCCTGCTTCTGGGTATCCCACAGGCATCTGGTTGGCCACTGTGGAAACAGGATGCTAGAGGGGCCACTGGCCTGATCCAACAGGCTCATCTTACGTGTTAGCCAGTGCTCCACTCATCCTGTCTCACGTCTGTTCATTCAGCTGGTGTACAGGGCTTGCTATTGAAAGAAGGCAAGGCTATGTGGTTTGCTGTAGCCTTACTCACTTTAGATAGCCCAGGAATGGACCAGAACAACAGCTGAGCTACTCTAGGGCATTCTTTATCTAAATATCCACCACAGGGATAGGGAATCTGTGGCCCTCCAACTGTTGTTGGATGACAGCTTCCATCATTCCTCATCATTGGCCAAGCTGGCTGATAGGAAGATCACCTCCCCATGCCTGACTTGTTACTAGCTTGCCTGCACATGGCAAAACTTTCTGGTGGTCCTTCCTCTTGTAGTTGTACATGGATACCGCTTTTGATTGGAATTTAGTAATCGAATAATTCTTCTGAACCTAGCAGTGCTCCTTTGCATCCCACCTAATTTTCTTTAATGATAATGAGAAAACACATAGAGGTGTGGTTTCTAGTGTTATATCTAAGATGCCGCATAAAGCAAATGGCAGGCTTGGTGAACTTAAGTAGACTGAAATATTACACAAGTTTAGTTGGTGTGTAAATGAGCAGTATTGAACAGAAGTGCTCCTGGCTCATGGAGAGTGGGGACTAGGGAGTTCCAGGAATTGCCCATGCTTGCATCTTAATTTAATTACTACTTATTGCTATGAACACACCTTTTTAGCACAAGTTTATTATTTGCAGTACTTTTTTATGACAGCTTTTTAAAAAAAATGTGCACAGTTTTGTCCATATTTAAATAGACATATTTTTATATCAAATGTAATAAATTCAAAAGGAATGATGGTATGAATTGGTTGCAGCTCGTAGAAATAGGGCACATGTTCAAAGATGTAAAATTTAAAATATCTGCACCCCAATTTTCTAGTTTACAAGTAAAATATTTGAAATGTTAGCAGCAAAGTCCTTGCATGTGAGTGGAACATTCCAGCCCTTGCCTTTTCATTTCAGATCCTTTCCTTGCTTGTTTCATTTGCATTGATAAAAAGGTTATGAAGGGAGTTCATGATTGTTACAAAACAAATGCTCAGACTATATATTATCTTTTCAGATTTTTTTGGTTTGTTTGTGTTTAAACAGTAGAGCAGGAAACTCAGCAGTCACAGAAATAACCATATAAAATGCCACGTATGCATAGAAATCCAACCTAGCCTATTTATTTTTATTGCTCCTGTGGGTGAAATGGGGTCTGCTTGAGATAGCCAATGTTATATGTTTTGTTCAATTGCTATGGGCAAATGTGCATAGAGACTTTCATACTTTATAATATAAATTCTACAAAAAGGCATGTGTTTGTGTTGTGTTTATTATTAAATCTCCTGAAGCAGAAACCGGAAAGAAAAAAACTAGATGCTTAACTTTGATTCTTCTATTCAAAATAACGAGTCTGAAAACTTGTTAGTGGAGATACTTCCCTTGTCCTGCAGGTGGAGCTAAATATCCAGGAATATAACACTGATCTGTTTTTTTTTTTTTTTTTTTTTTTTGAGGATTGTGATGATAAGCTAGAGGCTCTGTCCCACCAAGCATATTTAATAAGAACCTGATCAAGAGCAACTTGTTTTATCAATACCCTTTAAAAACATTACCTCTATACCAACAAAAAAAAGCTGAAAAACACTGCAAATATTCAATTTGTCCCAGCATATTGCATAATAAGTTCTTCAGAAAGCAGGGGTGTAACATGGGTTGTTGGCACTCGGGGTGGAGCCAGTGTTGAACTGGACAGTGGTCAGTCCCTTCGCTGGCCAGCGCCTAATCAAGGGAGTCTCTTCTTGCAAACTAGCCCAAACCTGGGAGCAGAGATAAGGCAGAGAAATGTGAAGCCAGGAGCGCCACTGTGTCACCGCACTCTCCTGTCCTTGTGGCAAGGCATTCTGGGCAATGCATATAGCTCTGGCAGTGCTTTCCCACCCCCCTCTCTCTCCTTCCCTCCTCATTGGGCGGCACAGCTGCTGCTCTCTTGCTTTCTCCCTCTCGGGTAACCCAGGATCAGGGCACACATGGGCATCCCTTTGCCAGCACCCCAGCCTTGAAGGCCCAACCTGGGCTTGGCCTACCTCCCTGCAGCTCTGGCCTCGATGAGGGAGCCTGTCATGTGGGAGCATGGTCGCACCCCCTCAGAAATTTGCACCCAGGGCCACAACACCCCTAGCCCTCCTTTGCTACGCCGCTGCTATTGACCCATCTAGCCCAGTCTTATTTTTACACTGACTGGCAGTAGCTCTCCAGGGTTTCAGACATTCCCAGACCTACAAGGAAATGCCAGGAAGTCAATCAGGAACTTTCTGCATGCAAAGCAGATGCTCTGTCACTGAGCTATGTAGGGCCCTTACCCTGGTTGAAATATTACCTCAGCCTTGAACTTTACCAGGTTAACAAGGGGCAAGTACCTTTCACTCAGATTCAGCCTCCCTTCGTCCTTCAATCTTCAATATAGAGCTAATAAAGAACTGCAATAATTACTGAGAATGTATATTGAGGGTTGCCAATGCGGTGCCCCTGGGAACATGGTTGGCACAGCAGCTATTTGTTTCCCAACTGATATTTGCCTTAGAAAAGCATTCTGTTATATCCAATAGACCAGGCTGCAACTGCATGCCTGGCTAGTCTGGTGTCCATGACAGGTTTTCTGGTTTGCAAATGTGCCAACAGGACCCAAAAAGGTTGTTGAAGCAAGAAGCAGTTATCTGGGAATCAGGGGTGCCAACCTGAATAAAATATGGGGGGGGCTGGTAAGATCCACCCTGCATAATCAATCACATATGGTGCATTCACGCCATTTGAATGGCAATGTCCATTAACTGGGGTCTTGGCCCCCTCAAATATTTTATGGGGGTGGGCTGAAGTCCCCTTGGCTCCTAGGAGTTGGCTCCTATGCTGGGAATAGGAGGGAAACTGGCTGAGATCAGCAAGTTTTAGTGGCCCTACTCCAACAAAACTTTAGCCCACAAGAAATTTACCCAGTGAAGCTTGTTCTGCCACTTCTCGCCAGAGTTTTATCTGCTTACTTTCTATGCATGTCACATAGCTGTTAAAAGCACAGAAACAGCACCAGTTGGGGGGGGGATGTTAGTAACCCCATGGGGGGAGAAGTCAGTCAGTAGGTCAATTCATGAGGTTTTTGGGAGAAGAATGAGAGGCAATGCACCTTTCTATGTTGAGTCATGGAGCTCTCTCACCTACTAGTCAGGGCCTTGCTAAACTTTCGCAATACATGACCTGGGCTAATCAGTTGGTAAATTCTGAAGTGGCACAATTAGGCCATTTTAGACTCTGGGCTTAATGGACATATGGAAGCTCCCCTCTTTTGTTGATCCTGCAACCAGGGCTTTTTTTTTGGCAGGAACTCGCCAGAACTCAGTTCCGGCACCTCTCATGTGGATGCCATTGCCATTATAAGAGAACAAGGGAGGTGTTTGTGGTGGGTTCCAGCACCTCTTTTTCTAGAAAAATAGCACTGCATGCAACTACAGTTGCTTCAAAATGTGCTAAGCCTGCTTTTCTACATTTGGAGTCCCTCCTGCACATTCTGCTGAGCAAAGCCCTGGATTCCTCCTCCAGTGTCCTGTTGTGATAACACCATGGGTGAATTTACTATATTACACCCTGTGAAGATTCTTGAGAGGCATCATGAAAGGAGAGAGGGGATAAGGGCCATCGGGTCAGGATAAATAAAGCTGCAAGCTAAGCAAATTCCCCAAACATAAAATTTTAGTCAAAACTGACAGAAATCAAAACGCATAACTACAAAGTGGGAAACATATTGGTTAAAAGGATTGTCAAAGCCCATGAACTGCCTACACTCCAGCAAAATAAATTATTGTGGATTATGCTTTTCCAGAGCCCCCCAATATTTTGTTCAAGTTGGCGCTTATGTCTTAATGGTCTGTTGTCTCTCGGTCTGTTTGTTGTCTTCAGTGTCACAAAAGTCCGTGATCTGTGAGGTGTGGCTGGAAATAGGCTGTACGTGTACACAAAACACGAGGACAAAAAGTTCCAAAACAAGAATTCACTAGTATGGTGCTAGATAAGACTAACATATTTTATTCAGAGGCAGAAGTTGCTCACATTTACTGCCATTTGCCCTATTTTCCTTTAATAGTTTTTATGATGATCATTCCTTTCAAATTAAACAAGGTATTTTACAGCCTAACACAATGCCAGCCTAGAGTTAAACAAACCCAGTCAGAAAATCAGATAAAAACACTCTTGCCAACAGATCTTCAGATCTCAGCCACAATTAGCTGAGACCTCATTACTCTTCAAAGCCCATCCAAACTAACATAATTTTGCCTGCCTCCACAATCATGCCAAAGGAGCAATGCACCCATGCTTGTTTGTCTAGACATGCAATTATCGTAACAGCCGAATTCACCACCAATGTACTGAAATGCTGATGTGGTTACTTTGCAGCATTGCACCTCTATGCAATAATAACTTTATCTTGTTCTAAGCACATCTGTTTGAATAAGAAAAGAAAGGTATAAACAACTTGTTCCATTTCATCTGTGGAGAAACATCCATACAAACTTTTTTTCTTTTCCCTTCCAAGGCTGAAGGAGAGTGGTGACTGGGCTCCCATTTCACTTGAGGCAAGGCAGGATGGGAACTAAAGGTGCTTCCAGATGACCTGTTTATGGAGCTTTCATCCTGATTTCTTTGCAGGGAAATTAGATGATGTTGACCATTGATTGAGCATTCATTCAGATTTGTTCGTGAGAAGATTAGATGACATTGCATCAAAGTAAATGTCAGCCCATGCTTTCCAGCACATTTTCTCATCACTTTCATCATTGCCAAAAAAAAAGTCTGGTGGTTGGAGGGAGCTGGCTGGTTGTGCAAGACCTCACAATCAACAATAAATGCACAACCTGAATTTACTGGTATCCCACCCCAAAATAGGAACAGTCTGAAAGCACCCTTCTCCTCCTCTGAAGTCCCATCTCCTCCTCTGCCTCTTACTCCTAGAGAGTTCTTAGCTCAAATGCTTCTGTATTCAAATACAGTTGAGCCCCAAATTCTCTCCCCCCCCTGCCTGCCTTGCAGTTTTATACAAAGTGTCCACTGGTATAACTGAGCCCTCAAACCCAGCCCTTTAGAGGTTCATCAGCCACCATCAGCACCTTCTGTTATTAACCGGTACATAACAATCCTGCATTTCTCTAACAATGTGTTGCATATGGAAACATTGATGCAACTTTTAATTATAGCCTGCCACCACTAATACAGTTGCAGTATGTAGGTCAGTAAATCTCCCCTCATAATTCTTTGGTCTCGTGTTGCTGTGTACAGTAATCTGTGCAGAATGGCTGCTGTGTCTGCTTACTTTAACGAAGCACATATTATTTTACAAGCGAGCCTTTGTAGTTGGTGTAATGCATCTCTTACCCACGTTGCATTACAACTTCATTCATCAGTATGCAGACAAAAAGTTCAAAAGCAAGGAGTGTGGTGCAAGACAGCACAAACAACTTAGTAGTATTATTATTATTATTCAGAAGAAGAAGTTATTCAACAAGGCACAAATAATAGTAGATTTGTTTTGAAGGGAAGTTCATTTTGAAGTGTTTGTGTTATCGTGTCCTCGACTCCCTCCAACTTGTCTCAATCCAGCACAACTCAATTTGCCTATCTATGGCCTCAGGTTGCTCCTCTGAGAATGCTAACTATGCTAATGAGGAAAAACAGATGTGCCTCTTTCAACAGCTTATTGGCCTGTTCCTCGCCCACATCAGCACCTTTCAGGATCTCAGCGGATGCGGGGGCTGTACGTAGGAGTGTTTAACAGAGGAAGAGGAGTCACCTAAGTTAAAAGCTATTCTTATTATGCAAATACAGTCATCTCACATCAGGTGCACCAAACATGCCAGCTCATGCACTTTGTTCTCCTAGTGAAGGAAGGAAGCCAAGGGCATTGTCACAGACCACAAAATCAAAGCCCTGGATTATAGAGCAGGAAGAGACGCCTCTGGCTCAACTGCTTGCTCTAAGGCAGGAGCCACGCGAGCTGCGGCCTGACTAACATGGATCCACTGTTGGTCACTTTATGATAATATATTTACAGTTTACTCCTTGATAAACAGGAAGCAAGCTGCTTGATGAACTCCAGTTAAGTTGCTCCAGAAAAATGCGGCTTAACTAGCCAGGAAAACTGCTTCATGTTTATCCAAATGATTTGGGGATGAACATGACTGCAAAGAACTAAAAACACTCCTAATTGTGAAGAGAGGTGTTTTTTTAAAGGAAGCAATTCAGTAAAAGCCAATATGTGACAAACTCTGGCGG